GTAATATTTCCACCCATGTTGTTCCAGCACCCCTTTCCCTTCAGAAATAAAATGGAAACATGCAGCTCATATCAGAGACTATTCAAAGCCCTCAGGAGAAACACCCACAAAGCAAACAATAACCTCACAGTGAAAGAAGCGAGATAACTGTTGGTGAAACAAGATGATGAAAAAAACCAGATCCCTTTTAATCTGTCCAAACAGGAAAGCTGGAATGCAATCCCCAACCTTTCTCCTTCATTTTGCACAGCTGCCCTACCACCCCCAAGGAAATCTATCTCCAGACAACCCTGGGAGGTGGAAACCACTGCCATAGACTTTCCTTCAGCACCTTTCCATTTATGTCTGGAGTTGGAACTTTTATGGACCATGGACAAATGCAAGTGCCACATGTGACACAATCATTTCAATTTGTTTTACATAATTGTGTACATATAAACCAAATGGAGTAAGGTTGCAAAAACATAACTTACATTTATCACTAGACAAGTATCTATTGATAGGAATATTGATGGGAATATTCTATAAACTGATAATAGGTCTAGCACACATTAATTCTCACATCTTTCTGCAAAAGAATCCTGGAAACTGTAAAGGGCATAGAAATTCTTTACTAGCACTCCTCAAAGTTTCCTTAATAGGGAAAATTAATATTAAATCAATTTACATCTATATTATAGATATCCCTTACATTAGTAGGAGAGAAATAAACATCTGCTCAAACAGGCAAGATTTTTCCATTTACTACAATGATGTTCATTGACAAATGACAAGCAGCACATGATTGACAATACAGCAGAGAAATGCCAATATGCAGACATGCAAAAGGCCACCACAGAAGTACACATGCAATGTTTATGTAAACATACTTTCATCATAAATTAGTATTCTTACTGGGCTATATTTAAAAAATACTGCAGTGTGTTGAGCTGCTACTTAAAGAATATAATGATCCACCACTGCATAAACAAAGCAAGATTTCCCATGAAAACTAAACAGCATATACTAAAAGGTCAAACATGTTTTAAAGAGCTAAATGATTTTTTAAAAAAATCCCCAGCAATTGAATGTGCCAGTAAATCCAGATATTTAGAGTTCAACCAGAAGAATGTTAAGAGATCTATCATTTCCATTATTCCATGTTGTTGAAATTCACTAAAATGGAAAAGGACTACCTGATATAAACTAAATATTTACATGAAGTTCCTATAGATATAACCTAACTAATATAAATTGGCATTAAACTGTTTTCCATCTAATAATGCATGGTGCAAACTGATTTATTAGCATGCTGAAAGCAATCTTTAAGGGCGAGAAACCTCCAACAAAGTGAGCACCATGGAGAGTGAGCACTATTAAGGATGCCAAGGTACTCGGATGACAAGTTAAGACCTTTAAAAATACAAATGTCACATTAAATTCTTATTAAAGAAATCAACATAAGCAACTAAACAAGTACCAACAACTCTTTTAACAGATGCATATGTTGCTTCTCCTGAACTGCCTGTTCACCTAACTGTTACCAAAGTAATTTATTCCAAGGGCGTGTCAAGAAGAGATTAGCTGCTTCCTTACAAAGCAGAAGTGAGCAGAATGATGGACTAACCTCCACATGGGGAATGTAGTACCAATTATAAAGAACAAACTGACTGTGCGGAAATAAGACATAATTCCTGAATAAATCCATATATATAATTACTGCAACCTACATTTATACACCACTGCTGAAATGATTCAAATTGTCCTCATAGAACATTGTTAAGAAATCATGCAGGAAGCCAAGCAATTCTCTGCTAAGTTTTCAGTTAGCGAGCTTTGTAGAGAGCTCATGGACTTTACAGGCCAGTTTTCCCCAACCTAGTGCCTTCCATTTGTGTCAGACCCCAATTCATATGATCCCAGTCAGACATGCTAGATATGGCTCACTGAGGCCATTTTACATTCTGTGTAATGACACACTTCAACCTATATTTTCCATACTGCAGGGTAATCAAAAGCCCCAAAACTGACGGGAGTTAATGATAGCAATTGATTCAGATTAATGTATTTTCTTGGGCTTCAAGACAGCACAACCAGATTACTTATCCCTGGTCACAGAATGTTTTTCTTCTGAAGTAACGATAAAAAGATAAGGATACACACTGTTAGGAGTTCTCTACAATTTTGTTAAACTTCCCATATATGGTATCTCTAACACAAACCAGGAATAAATTCCTAATAAGAATGAGCTTCTATTCTCTCTCCAATGAATTTCCATTCCATCCTCACCTTCGGCACACAACTTCTCCTGTTCCATAAAAAGCCAACCACTGGGTTCATTTTCTGTCATTTTCAAGATGACTGAGGACAATATCTTAAGAGTCAGCTTGCGGAAAATTTAACTTGGAGACTTTTTAAAAAAGAAACCATAGAAGAGAGGAAGTGTGCGTTCATGGCTCAAACACAGCTTATGGTTTTGTTTTCAGCATAAACAGGAACTTTATCTTAACAGATGACAGCTGCATGCAGCAGTTTGCAAAGGTCATATGGAAAACACATTATAACCCCCCACTCTACATTGTTATCTCAAATTCCACACTCACATATACTAATTCTGGTGTGTTCAGTGGACAATTTCCTACTTTACTTGCTGTCTTCTTGTGGATTTTAAGGTTTTTTTCAAGAGAGAAACTTGGGGAAATTGTCCACTGAACACACCAGAATTAGTATATTTACATGATATAAAAGGTAACAGAAAAAAATAGTATTAAATCACTTTCTTCTCCGTAAATATATTTGAAAAGACAGCTGTTCCTTGGCAAATGACCTGGAGGCATATGAACAGGGCAAAATTTACTACCACCTTTAAGATATACTTTGAACTACTTCTCCAGGGTCAGAAGAATTTAAATATGTTCAGGCCAAATGGTGAAAATGTACACTGTAAAGTAGTTCATGAACAAATGAGTGCATGAGGAAGTGGATTTGGATAATAAAATGACCTACAGCATTGATGCTGTATATGGGGCTGGGACGCTGACCATCAACTGTCAGTCTTTGGAGAATGTGTTGTCGAAGGCTTTCATGGCCTGAATCACTGGGTTGCTGTGAGTTTTCAGGATGTATGGCGATATTTTAGAAGCATTCTTTCCTCACATTTCACCCACATCTATGGCAGACATCCTCTCAACCTGCCATAATGTGGCTGAAACGTCAGGAGACATGGAACATGGCCATACAGCCCAAAATCTCACAGCAACCCAGTCTTGGAAAGTTTCCAGGAAAGAAAGACATAGGTTTGGACTCTCTAGGTGTGAACTGTCAACCCCCCACATGCGACAGCCGAAGAAACACTGACCTTCAAGGATATGATCAAGCACTGATGTACCCTAACCTGAGGGAATCAACTCATTGCTGAGCTCAAAATCCCACCTGGATGCGCCCAGACAGGCAATGTGAGTGAAGACCTGGGGCACAATGATATCAGCTTTGTGTGGAAACATGTGGCACTTTACACCAAGAACAAGGAAAGCAAAACTAAAACCTATCTATCCATCAGCTCAAAGAGAAGCTCACAGCTCTTGCTTCCGCCCTGAAGTTGGAGGAAGTGACAAGGCAGTAGCTGCCAACTCATGTGGAATGAAAGATGGCAGAAAAAAGCAGCAGCAAGTAAGGCCATTTGCAAGGCAGTGAGTAGGCCTAGCTGATCTATGCAATTGTTAAGCAGTCTTGCAATTTATCACATGGTTACAGCTTTGCACTTATCCCATTCCCTGTCCAATCATTTATAGTGTAGCCATTTTTACAGTAGCGTACCACCATTGGTTGAGGAGCACTGTTTTAATTGCGTTTTAAGTTGTTGTTTAACATGCTTATATATTTTATTCACCTGTATTTTTAAAATTGGGTTTTATTCAATGTTCTGGTTTTGGCACTTTGTGGTGCATGTAAGCCGACCCAAATCCCTTTGGGAAGATGATGGTGGGATACAACAATACAGTTATTGGTAAAGGAAATTGTTTCCCTTTGACATTCAGTCTAGTCATGTCTAACTCTGGGGGGTGGTGCTCTTCTCCATTTCGAAGCGGAAGAGCTGGCGTTGTCAGTAGATGCCTCCAAGGTCATGGGGCCGGCATGACCATTACTTTCCTGCCGAAGCAATACCTTTTGATCTTGTCACATTTGCATGTTTTTGAAATGCTAGTTGGCTAGTTGGCAGAAGCTGGGCCTAACAGCGGGAGTTCACACTGCTCCCTAGATTAGAACCTGTGACCTTTTGGACAGCTAGTTCAGCATTTCAGCCGTTTAACCCACTGCACCATCGGGGGATTATCATCATCATCATTATTTTATAGACAGCTTCATTAGGAAAGTGAATGAAAACAGAATGAGGGGGAACCTTTCCATTTCAGGCACCTACAGAGAAAGAGGTCAATTGATGCTGCAAAGGGGGGGGGGGGCGAAGGTAAGGAAGCAACATAAACACATCCTGATAGTGAAGACTTCAACTCTTAGGGCCCTTTCAGACAGGCACTATATCCCAGGTTTTCTGTTTATCCCAGATTACCTGGCAGTGCAGACTCATATAATCCAGTCTAAAGCAGAAAACCTGGGATCAGATCCTGGGATGTAGGACCTGTCTGGAAGGGCCCTAATTCGACCTTCCAGCAAATAACAGAAAGCAGGTCATTACATATCTGGGCGGGGGGAGTGAGAGGAGCCTTTTTTCTCTTTAACCCCCTCATGCATAAGATTTAACCTCTCATTTAAGCTTCCCACATACAATCAGACCTCAGACACTCATAGAAAATCCCAAATAACAACAAAAGCAAGACAAAAACATGGCCTTATCTATTCCAGATAAGACAGGACTGGGCCTGCAGGGGAAGAGCGTCGAGAGGCGCCTCTTTTCCTCACAAACCCGGCTCCAATGGACCCCGAAGGAATAGGAGGGGGCTGGCGGAGGAGGAGAGGCCTGCCTCGGGGAAACGGCGAGGTCTGCATTCGGGGAAGGGCCTCACCTTCGGAGAGCTCCAGCTCCAGCTCGGCCAGCTGCTCCCGGACCTCTCGGGGCAGACCAGCGGGAGGAGAGGCGGCCCCATTCCCGCCTGGAGGCTCAGCCATGGCGGGGACAGACCGGGCCTCCTCCTCCTCCTCAGCAGCGGCAGCAGCGGCGGCGCCTTTCTCCTCCTCCTCTTCCCTTCTTCTCTTCCTCAGCGCCGGCGACTCCGGGTCCTGCCACGCGAACAAGCAGCCGTTGCAGCAGTGGCAGCAGGAACAACGGCCGCCATAGCCATAATCCTTCTCTCTTGCCTTCCTGCCTCCCTTCAGGGCTGCCGCCGCCCTCCTCCTCTTCCTCCTCCTCCTCCTCCTGGCCGCGAGTCTAACCGACGAGGTCACGTGGCAAGGAGGGGCGGGGCGGCCACGCGAGGCTCCGCCTCCGAAGAATAAAGAGGAGGAGACCAAGCCGAGCGCCTGTGACTCCAGCGCCCCCTCGAGGCCGCTCCGCGCCTGCGCAGTCTGCTCCTGTCATGGCCGCCCTTTCTCCCTGATGAAGGAAGGAAGGAAGGATGCAAGGAAGCCTTTGGACATTCACCACTACGACTGCTCTGGCTCAAGGCTGTGGAAACCTTATTTGAATCCTAGAACTTTACAGTCCTAAGGGGAATTTGAATTGATTGTAACTTTGTTTACAGCATACATGGGCAAAATGCGGCCCTCCCTCCAGGTGTTTTGGACTTCAGTTCCCACAATTCCTAACAGACTAGTCCAAAACACCTGGAGGGAGGGCCGACATTTGTCCATGCCTGGTTTATAGCATGCATTATGCTGTGGCGCAAGAATGATTGACAACTGGAAAATAGAGGGAGAAAATGTGGAGGCCGTGACAGACTTTGTATTTCTAGGTGCAAAGATTACTGCAGATGCAGACTGTGGCCAGGAAATCAGAAGACGCTTACTTCTTGGGAGGAGAGCAATGTCCAGTCTCGATAAAATAGTGAAGAGTAGAGACATCAGACTGGCAACAAAGATCCGCCTAGTCAAAGCCATGGTATTCCCTGTAGTCACCTACAGATGTGAGAGCTGGACCTTAGGGAAGGCTGAGCGAAGGAAGATCGATGCTTTTGAGCTGTGGTGTTGGAGGAAAGTGCTGAGAGTGCCTTGGACTGCGAGAAGATCCAACCAGTCCATCCTCCAGGAAATAAAGCCCGACTGCTCATTGGACGGAAGGATACTAGAGACAAAGTTGAAGTACTTTGGCCACATCATGAGGAGACAGCAAAGCCTAGAGAAGACAATTATGCTGGGGAAATTGGAAGGTAAAAGGAAGAGGGGCCGACCAAGGGCAAGATGGATGGATGGCATCCTTGAAGTGACTGGACTGACCTTGAAGGAGCTGGGGGTGGTGACAGCTGACAGGGAGCTCTGGCGTGGGCTGGTCCATGAGGTCACAAAGAGGCGCAGACGACTGAACGAATGAACAACAACATGCTGTGGCGCATGCTCGGAAATTTTATTATTTGTTTTTAGCTGATGATTTTATGTTGTTTATTTGTTCAGTCGCTTCCGACTCTTTGTGACCTCATGGACCAGCCCACACCAGACCTCCCTGTCAGCCGTGGCCACCCCCATCTCCTTCAAGGTCAAGCCAATCACTTCAAGGGTACCATCCTTGGTTGGCCCTTCTTCCTTTTTCTTTCCATTTTTCCCAGCATCATTAACTTCTCCAGGCTTTCCTGTCTTCTCAATATGTGACCAAAGTACTTCATCATGGCTTCTAATAGCCTTCTCTCCAGTGAGCAGCTGGGCATTATTTCCTGGAGGATGGACTGGTTAGATCTGTTTGCAGTCCAAGGCACTCTCAGAATTTTCCTTCAGCACCACAGTTCAAAAGCATCTCTTTTCCTTCACTGAGCCTTCCTTATGGCCCAGGTCTCGCATCCATAGGTTGCTATGAGGAATACCATTGCTTTGACTAAGCAGATCTTCGTTGCCAGTGCAATGTTTCTACTCATCACTATTTTGTCAAGATTGGTCATTGCTCTCCTCCCAAGAAGTAAATGTCTTCTGATTTCCTGGTTGCAGTCTGCATCTGCAGTAATCTTTGTGCCCAGAAATACAGTCTGTCACTGCCTCCATGTTTTCTCCCTCTATTTGCCAGTTATCAATCAGTCTGGTTTTATGTTACATTTTAAAGATTGATTTTATGTTACATTTGAAAGATTATGTAAGCCGCCTTGGGTCCACCTGGAGAAAGGTGGCATAAAAATCCCCTAAATAAATGAATAAACTACTGCTCTCATAGCAGTGAAAGAAGGATAGAACAACATTCCTTCCCCAGTGTCTATGCCCTCTGACACACTACATGAATAACCTTAATAAAAATAACAATATGTTTGTTCCTGGGTTATAAATATCATTTCCTAATTGGTTCTATCATAAAAACACAAAAAAGGTTTATTAAACTGCACAAACTTTGTTTTTGCAGGAGGGACATCTTGCAGCACATTTCGCTATAGTTTTTCAAATAATATCTCGAGTTTCAACCCATTCAACATAGGTTGTGGCAGCCACAAAAACGAAGTTTCTGGGATATAACAATGACTTTCAAAGTAAGTACTGCATGATTAAAGAAGGAAATAATACTTTTAAACCGGGAATAAAAACTTTTTCAAATTTTGTTACATAATGTAATACAATGCATTTTATTTCTCATACTTTTCCTGATAGATACATCACAAGATGACACTACTCCCAGGAAAAAATAAAATGGCCAGCACTAGTTCTCATCATGGTGATTATTCTCTAAATAAATTGCTAGCATGCTCCAGCAAGACACCTGTCTTTTCATTAGCCATCTTTTTTAAGACTCATAGAATTGGGAGAGACCCCCCCCCCCCCAGGGTCATCTAGTCCAGCCGCCTTCTGCCATGCAGGAAGTATTATTATTGTTATCCTGTTTTAGTGGCTAGCACTAAAACAATAGAATACTTACTTAGGTGATGCCTCGTTGTCCAAGTATGATGGCCTTCCAAGTGTAGTGTAGAGCCCTATTCTTGAACTGCATGAGGACATCGGTTTCCAGGTGGAAGGTGGTCCTAGTCAGGTTTGGCTTGACATGCCTTTCTCTTGGCACATTTTTTCCTTTCACCCTCCATTTGTGCCTCTTCAAATTCCACAGCACCGCTAGTTACAACTGACCTCCAGTTAGAGCACTCAAGGGCCAGGGCTTCCCCGTTCTTGGTGTCTATGCCACAGTTTTTAAGGTTAGCTTTAAGCCTGTGCTCTAAATCAGTCTATTAATCTGTATGCATACGAGTATTTTTTAATACTCAAACTAGCCATGTGCTATATGGGGATGTCACAGGAGCATCAGGGATATCAAAATCTTGCTTAACATGGCTATGTAGTTTTAATTTATATTTAATCCATATAATTGATGGTTTGGTTTGGTACTAAATTTTAAACATATTTTATTAAGACATTGTTCCCTACAATGTCTTTCCATGGTTTTAATTATATCTTTTGTTCTATCCAAACATAGCTTCTCTGATTCCCAATATAGTGTGCGCATACCTCTCTTTTGCATGTGTTTAAGATGTATATAACTATTGTGAGTCCAGAAAGTTACCATGGCCTGTGAAGAAGACAAATAGATCTGAAAGCAAATCAAACCTTTATCCAGACCACAGCTTTTTAAATATTTCATGTTGCTGACACACTTTTAGACATGCATCGTTTTGCAACACAGTAATTCAGTTTTACTAGCAAACTGGAGGTCAAATCAATCCCTTTATGCATTGTAATAAAATGTTTGAGGACACATTTCATGAAAACCTTTCCTTTATAGTTTTAGAAATACTCAAGTTTCTCCTTACGTTTACACAACACGACACACCTACACAAGGCGGTTTAACTTGCTGCGCCACCAGGAGGCCCAAGGTGGAATAACAGCATTATAATAGTGTAGTATAAATGGCCTTGGTATCATGGCAGTCTTTTTCTCATAGGGTCATGACAATCAAAAGCAACTTGTTAACAGAACAAAATGTGCAGTTAGGGTAATGGCATTACTTTGCACTTAAGACTACCTTCACATATTAACCAGTACGCTATAAGCTACACTATAGGAAAAAAGACAGCCTTCTTCCATAATCACTAAATCTAAGGTATTTGGATGAGGGCTGAGGCAATTTCAGAGCTTGACAACAGCTGAAAAGGCAGAAGTGTCCCTTGCTGAACATTGATTCAGTTTACTATGAGTATCTTATTCAATGATGAGAGAGTGCTCTCTCTTACAATCCAGGTTTAAATTTACAGAATGTTACATGCCACAAGTATCTCCTGTAGTTCTGGGGAATGTTCCTTGAGGAAATCCATACATTTACCACCAGTTTATGTCTGATTTTGTTTGAATTTTTCACATTATTGATGCAGTAGTATGAAGCAAATCCATGTGTGTTTGGAGAGGAAAATTTAACTTTCCTTGGTTTCTTCCCACAAGCGAATTGTGTTCATTGTACAACAGCCATTTTCAGAATTAAAACAGACCATGGTGAATCATTAAAATCCCTCACTCCTCTGCAGCAGTCTTTCACTCCAAATCAGGGCCCCAATGGATGTGCTGTACGAAGAAATATACACAAGTAACAGAACTGCACATTAGGTATCAGGCCCATGGAGTTAAGCAATCCATGTGGCATATACAAAAGCTGCCAACTTGGAAATCCAATCAGAGATGGGGGCCTCTGGCCTTTTCTTACACAAAATACAAGTAGGAAGTGGCAGGGTTCAAAAATATCTTGACTCAGTGGCAATGGCAATAGAGATTCTCGAAACTTCACATACATACTTCCAACTTACATCCACAAAAATCAATTAAGATTTGGGCATGCATTTGACACCTTTGGTCATGCATTTGGCACATCAAGTCATTTTGTATCTGGACAAAAATATTTTTAAAGGTGGCTTTTATTGTTTCCTTCTAATTGTTATTTCCATTTCCCATAGCACCTTGGCAATGTCAAAAACAAATACAAATTACATGAATAATTTGAACAGTTAAGCATGAATCTATTTTACACATTTTTGTTATTTTAGACAGCTGTGATGACAGAAATAAACCAAATTGTCAAATTAGAGAAGCAAGACAGTATTTATATGAATTATTTCACCGGAGCCCTGTAACTTTGAAAAGTGTGATTATAAATGTCAGGTGACTCAAATTCTTCCGGGAAGGAACATAGCTGAATATTTTTAAATTGGGTGCTGTTTGCTCACTAACCACTTTTCTTTTGAAGTATCCTGCAGGGGAAATTTTTTATCCATGACTGAATTCTTTAAAAAAAAAAACCCTCTAGCTATTACATAAATTGGTAAATGTTATTATTGGTTAGTCTGAGGTCTGAACAGTTCTCCCATTTTGATTTTCCTAAATTAACATTAATTACACTTCATTGGATCTTCCAGGGTCCAGGGCTCAAGACTCAATCAACCTTCATTCAAAGAAAAAAAAGAGAACAGAGTGGGAATCAAATGTACCATCCTAAAGGAAACCCACACTACATAATACCTGCACTTACTCTAGTTTCAGTCTCTCTCTCACTCACACATAAGAGCATGATAGATCATTAAAGATTGATGGTAACAATCTCATGTTTCAGAAGTAATTATCAAAAATTAAAAGAAATCTATTGCATATCTGTTGTAATCAACAATTTACAAAAGTTTAAGCAATCCCCATCCCCAAGTGCATTTCTGTTGCATTTTGTCTGTATACATTGCTGCATTTTACAAATTTAAAATAATCTGTACACACGTAGCAGGTATCTTTTCCACTTGTGTATATTCACATGAGTAACAGTAAAAAGAGTGGATATATTCAGACATTTAGCTGATGTTGATGAAGTAGTAAGGCCATAGCTATTTAAACTACAGTAAAGCGTTGCTTAAGTCACTTAATTGCTACTTATCTGCCTGTTCCATCTTAGTTTTCTTCTGTTCAGTAATGTGGAGGGTTTTTTTTAGCTTACTGCTAAAACCACATCCCTCTGCCAAGCTAACTTTAAAAAAAGATTAAGAAGGAAAGCAGGCAGGGATGCAAGTCCCATGCAAACTAGGTATTTCCTCCTTTCCCCTTTTCAGAACAAAGTAGTACAATGGTGCAAAATTACTCCTCAGTACTGAGAAAAGGGGGGACCAGGATTCCAGCTATTAAGGAAACACTCTCATAAATTCACCAGCCAACAATAGCTCTGAATACAAAAGAAAAATGTCATCCTTGTTCTTTAGCAAAACTTTCAAGAATAAAAGGCATGTACATCCAGTTTTGGAAAACATGAAAGTTCCCTTGGTTGATGGACAGTTTTGATAGTTTTAAGGATCAGCTTTCACTCTGCTGAACCAATATTTACACAATGAAAATGCTCATTTTGGTTATGTTTACCAGTACAGGCTATACTGGTGTATTTTTACATTCATCCAATGCTGTTTCTAGTCCACAGAGGACAAGGACTTCAGTGCCTCAACTTGCCATCAGCTGTAGGAACAATAACTTATTAGTTTATGTTTGAATGTAAAGGATACACACAAAAACCCCAAGCACTACCACACTGCATGTTCTTACAATCAAACAGAACTGTCATAACAGTGGATTAGATTCTGAATGTATTCTCTCATTTTAAAAAAAAAATAGAAAGACTGATTGATGGAAATCCAAGACACTGCTGTGAATGAACAAGAGCAATAGCCAGCCCAGATATGTATTTAACCATGCAATAAACACAGAAGTTAACATGAAAATGCAGATGTTAAGAGCATACAGCATTGCTCTCCCTCTTTTCAGTAATTGCATTGTTTTTCCCTCTAAACCTATCAGACATCTATGTAGCAAATGAGGGGCAGAAGAGGATGCTATGTTAGTTGAAGAGAAAATTATCAAATATTTAGGTTATAGTGAGTCCCACCAGGCTAGTAATTTTTACATAGGAAAAAGCTGTTCACACACTTACACATACATTGCACAAGAGCCATATACCCACTGTGGGAAGCGTGCACACACACACACACACACACACATACATACAGGATGCATAATAACATCCCTTCCAATTGTCAAGTTTTTAAATCTCACAGTTGTGAGCCATACTTGTTTCAGAATCCAATAAACCAAAGAATTATATTTAATTTTCATCTGCTTCTGAATACTAGATTCCATTCAAATATGGACAAATCCACAGGGTCAGATTTCCTACACTCTGATTGCCAACTTATATTCACTAGCTTTCCCTCAAAAAGAACCCTACATATTTTCACTAACAACCCAATTTCTTTTTTCAGGACAGGTATTACAAATTTAAATACATACTGAGTTTGCAATGACACGGTGCACTTCTATTCTCAGTATAACTGTAGCAGTTCAACATTTTTCTATTCTAAGTGCAGTAGAGATTTTAAAAATGTTTTTGAAGTAGTCTTTCATAAATTTTAGAGTCCTTATCATTTCAAATATTTTCAGTTTGTGAAAATATGTCCATCAAAAATAACATGAATAAATCAAAGTGGGTTTGAATGTGTTTCCAGACATGATCAATTAATTGTGTAAATTTAGAGACTGTCAAACCCAGGATAGACAGTTTAAAATGAATAATGATCAATAACATTAGTAAAAAATGAGTATCAACTGCTTAAGTACATATACATTTTTCAATCAAATCAAAAAGGGTGATTGCCAAGCTGAATAATAAGTTAGAGAAATGACAAATCTGATTTATATATATCTATATATATATATATGTATACTTATAAAAATAGATATGAGTGTTCTCAAAGCCATTGATAGAGAATGCCTACTGAATAAGAAACTGCCAAAGGTTAAGTGGCTAAGAAAAATCAGAAGATGAACATTTTCACAGTTAATTGTTTATCTGCCACTGACATTTTAAAGTTATCACTAGCATATACAAACTAAGATGTATGGTGGTATCTCGCAACTGAATTTTCCAGTGTTCACAACTAATGAATTTAAATTTGTATGCTCATTATTAACTAAAGAAACAGGTACATTTCTTTGCTGCTATATATGTTCCTATAAACTTTATACAGAACCTTCAATCGCAGCATGCAGGTTTTGGCAAATTAGCATGTTGTAATTTTCCTATTTCTTTTCTTATTTGCTATGGTTACCAGCCATAAAGGTATGCTAAAGGCCTCTCCAATACTCTCCCATTTAATCTTAACATTTCGAAGGCTAATAACTCTCATAGTTGTGGGAGCATATTTACCCATTGGGGTTTTTCTCCAAGTCTCCCTACTAAAGAAAACCTCATTTTTATTATAGAAAGAAGTGCTTATGAATAGAATTTTTTCAATACATCAGTGCAATTCACTCTGTAGAGGCCAATTCATGTATTGGAGCAAAATCATAACTCAGGTGGACTCAGTATGATTTTTACACCATTCAGCATATGCAACAAACAGCCTTGATTAATTGAATATGATGCCAAGAGAATATTTACGAAACTGTTTTCATTCTTCCTGTATTTCTCTTGGACCACTGCTGGAACATTCATTCCAACTAGGTGTGTATAATTCTGTAATAAAGATTAGAGAAAATACTAAAGCAGTGGGGAGGAAGTAAAACAACTAGGAGAAAATGCTAGAACTAATTAAAACCTTGCCCACTAGTTCTTTCTTACTAATCCTGCTGTTTGTATACTCCAGAGTAAAATCATATAGTTTTTAAAAGCTGACCAAAATTAGTAAGGTCACAGACTAAATCTCCAAAACACAAAATACTACAGAAGTACATTCAGTTATCATCAGTGACTAAATCATGACATAACAAGTATGTGACTACACTCATTCATACAGACCAAGCATGTCAGTTTGGGGCTGATTTGTAATGCAAGGCCATAAATGGCATACACATCATCTTACAGGCCATACATTAAATAGATTTTAAAAAAGTAATTTATAATTTTTACAGAATTTTTTCCCAAAAAAAATATTTTGCCCCATTGTGATATGAGGAACAAGCTAACGTGTGTATTTGTTCCTCACGTTCAACAAGCTAATTCATAACACAATAATCTAGTTTGAGCAGGAAACTGCTGCAAATTAAAAACAAAAAAAGTTACAAAAATTATAACCTTTATCATATTTATATTGATCAATTCCTCCAGCATTTTATGTCACTTCGAGATGAATATTGGGACCCCTCCAACCTCTCTCACACATTGCAAACCCTGTGCTCTTCGGTTCTGTGCCCCACTTTCCCACATTTATTACATTTCTCTCAGCTGGCCAGCTTTTCCTCTACTGTTCTTTAGTCCATAGTTATGATTAAATTAAAAAAATGATCAGTTTTCCTTTGGTGATCGGGGTGGCACATACTGTTCCTTGCCAACACGCCGAGGCGCTCCCTGAGGAGAAGGCCTGCGTCCACACTGGCGCCTCTGTTCCCTGATTTTTCCTGCAGGTCCCCCCTTAGGAGGCCCACTGCCCCTGAAGGCAACAAAGTCTTTCACCCGCCCTTCAGGTTTCTCATGTGTCTTCTCTCCAGTTTTTTCATGGGTGCCATTTTCTTCTGTTTTGGCAGGCGAAGTAACGTTGGTACGCAGCTCCCTAAGTGGCTGAACTGGAACTGGAGCCGTTTCTTTTGGGGGTTTCTGGCAGACTTCAGCATAACTGAGTTTCCTGGGTTCCTTTTTGGGTTATAAAACACAGTGATTTTAGATTAACAAGAAATAAAATCAATGGCAACATGTTAATAAATATTCATAACTAAAATTAAGGATTTTTCTTTATCTTCCCACCTCCCAAAAGTTTGAATATTTTGTTACATGTACATGGTATCCTTCCATAGTTTATGAAAAGTGTGCTGAAAATATATGCCCTCACCTGTACTGTCAAAGTAGGCATTGTGTTTGCACCAGTTGTGGAGGAAGTGATGTTTGTTCTAGGTGATTTTACAGTACTGAGGGGACATACAGAGGAAGGCGGGGAAGTCTGGCTTGCAGCTTCTTTCTGCACCTGGACCTCTTCTAGCTTCTTGTCTAGCTGAGTGGCACTGGCAAATCCAACAAGAATACTATGTTATATCATACACAAAAAAACAAATGCCGTAATGATATAAACTTTGCATTTTCAGGCATCAATCAGCTTTTAGATCATCAACATACTTTTTGCAAACGTGTACTGTGCCATAGGTTGAGCATCACTTATCCAAAATGTTCGAGTTTGAGATTTGTTTTTTTTAATTGAATACTTGTATTTGCCTTAATGCATATAATAAGTTATATTGGAGATGAAATAAAAGATCAAAGATCAAATTAATTTGTGTTTCATATATATCTTATAGACATAGCCTGAAGATAGTTTTGCACAACATTTCAATAATTTTGCACATGAAGCAAAGTTTGTGTCAACGGAACCATTAGAAATGAAAGATGCAAGTATCTCAGCCACCTATGTGGATAATTTAGATTTTAGAGTATTCTGGGTAAAATTTGAAAAGTGATGCTCAACCTGAAATATTTTGGGATGAGAAGGTACAAAATTATCTGGGAAAGCTTTTGAAATCATCATTAGTTTCATTGGGCAAAGATGGACGAAAAGATCCAAAGGAAATGATAATGTTAGAGTCCCCTGTTCTGCTTATTGTTTTCAGGTAGAAGCAGAGTTTGCATACTATCAAATTAGGACTAATCAGGACATATCCAATGGCCCTGATTTCACTATGAATACAAAGCTAAAAGAAAAGTGATGAAATTTGGTTTCCATTAATGAATTACGAAACAGAAGAAATGAAGACTTCTAAAAATGTAAACCTCTATTCAAAAGGGTAGCTCAAAGGCTGCTCTGTAGAAAAGGGAGCAGTGACCTGTATCATCATCATCATCATCACGTCATCCTTCACTACTGAGAAATTTCAGTAAGTTTTAAATAATGATTATGTGCAATGGTACTACTTATATATTCCATATGCTCATGCTCACTAGACTTTTGTACTGTTGATTTTGGTTCTTTTATTTGATTAAGAGATGTGTTAGCTATAGCTCTTGACTAGATTCTACTCAGGGCTTAAAATTTGAACTAGTCAAAGAATTTAGAACTATGCAGGAAATGTCCCTTTGCATACTCTAAAGGTAAGTATCGTAATAGCTTTTACCAAGTCACTTCCAAGTTTTCAGCTCTGAACAGTTACCCTGATCAGTGCTACCAAAAATATCCTATTTTTCCTGTGTCACAATTTACTATGATGGGAAGAAGGTCTCATAGTCCTGACTTGACTAGCTTCAAGTTTTATGATAATCTGATTTTCTATTAGGCTTTTTCAGGGCAGGTTGAGGATCTCTTATTTGGAATTTTGAAATCTAAAATCCTCCAAAATTGTCCACATGGGTGTTTGAAAAAGTGATACCTTTGCTTTCTTATGGCTTAAGATATGCAAAAATATTGGTATCTGCATAAAGTGTACATGAAACATAAATGCATTTCATGTTTATACTTGTCTAAACATGAAATACAGGTATTCCAGAATTTGAAAAAAATCTGAAATTCAAAACACTTCTGGTCCCAAGCGTTTTGGAAAAGGGATACTCAGCCTGAAATAATAAATCACTTTCAAAAGATCACTGACAGAAAATACTAGTACATTATGGCTAAAGGGAAATGTAATTGCATTTCACTTGAAAAGCTGTTGCTTTAAAGTGTAAACACTTTCGACATACCTTAATCCAGGAATATCAATCTCACAGGGAGAACTGGCACTCACAACAGGGTGAACAGTGCTTTGCCCATGTTCTTCCTGAGTAGATGTTAAAGAACTGACTGTCAACTCTTTGTTTTCCTGGATGTAGGAAAGAAGAGAGGAGATTTAAATGCAGGATACAAGAGAACAGGAGCATAAGGAGCAGCAAGTTGGTTACAACTGGTATACAAACACACGTAGACAGAGTGCACTAAAAACAAGTACAGCATGGCACTTCTCTAGAATTTGGTAAAAGCAACTGTACCTTTCTACAATAACCCAATACCCAGAAACAGAAAGAATGTATGGGCACAAAGCCAATCAAGGAGACCAACACTAGCCACAGCAGAAAGGAAACAATCCCCACCTACATTCCTCACATGGGAATTTAGAATAGACCTGGGCCTTCTATACGTAGCATCCTTCCTAACAGAGTTGGACTGTTTGCAGAAACACTTGCTGAAAATTCTGGTGTATAACTGAGAAGACATTTGTGCTTATGCATGCTGTCTGACAGTTCCCACCAGTCTGTAGGAAATACTAACAGGGAACCCTACCTTTCTGGAGCCAATAAGCACATTTGGAATTTTGGGACAGTGTCATTTGACACTGTATGACCAGCCCATAAACATTTTCTGCTGGCAAAGTATTGAGGCTAAAGGGAAAGTAACTTTAATACAATGCAGAGGTGGAGCTTGAGTCTCAAAACACAAAACCACTCTTTTGATCCTACATTTTTCTATGCCATAGTCCATTTTGCAAAAGGAATACAATAAGACTTAGAATCAAATAACCGGGCCAAGAAACTTAGTATAAATAGATTGAGCCACAATTACTACATCATATCCATGATATTTCAAAATAAAGGACTCAATTTCCAAAGCAGTTTATTTTACAATGGCAGCATGTTACAATTACACCAAAAGTTATAAATTGATTAATGAATTATCAGGTTTTCTACCCATTTTGAGACAGAATCAAATCTAAAAATGCCACAAATGGAAAAATATCTCATTAGGTCTTATGTTGCGGGGCTGCCACCTTATGAATGATAAGAGGCTATGGGGGTTGTTTGTGGGCAGAGAGGGGCATCTAGTAGTAATCATTTGAAACTCTATACTCCATTTTTTCAAGTGGCAAAAATGAATGAAACATTCATGATTGTAGAGATACGATGATTTCAATTTGGGTCCATCTTCTTGAAACACCTTGTGCTGGTTCAAAATCACCAGGAAAAAATGAATTAATGCTAACCTGAAAACCTTAATCTCTAACAAACAAAAGAAAACCTTTCTCCAACACAAATCATTGACCCTGAGCAGTGTGGCCATTCCAATGAGCCCTCTATCTATGAAAGCTTGCTCCATTGTTATCAACAGAATGCTGAGGAATAAAGAAACTGCCACTTTTCCTTTATCTGCCACCATTTTTTTTCAGAACCATCTGCAATATAACTGAATGATACTTTTTTTAATTGATGTGATCTTAAGAAAAATTGTAGCAGTAGGAAATGTCATCCATGGAATTAATTGGGTGATTGATGTCAATACTCCAAATACTCTTGCTAAGTGCATTACATTTACTTTCCTCCTCTGAAAATATCTGATTTATTTTAACTCTAATAGGAAAATTCAACCTTTTCTGTATCTACCTGAAGACTAATTAGATAAGATCCTTTTTGTCTTCAGATGATTTTTCTTGTAGTTAATCACAAATTAATTACTCTCTAGTCCAGTCTGCACAGCAAAGTTTCCCTGTGGCCTGCAGCCAGGGCTGGGCTTCCCTTTCGCTAATCGGACCTTTGCATGCCAGCCTTCCTGGTCAGGGAGGAGTAGCCAACAGAAGACTTTTTTAATGTTGGCCCTTTACAAGCGCTAAATTATGCAAACCTGTTCTAGACACTACAACATTCTCCTGAGATCTGACTTTTTGCTTGATTCTCAGACTACACCAAAATGTCATCCAAATATGAAAACAAACGAACTTCTTTCCATCTCAAGTATGGTATTAATGAAACTAACACTTTGATAACAATCCTTGGAGGTGACGCCAGGCCAAAAGGAAAAACTCTAAATTGGTAATGATGGCTGTTATTTTTAAATGAAGAAATTATCTGTATAATAGATTCATGGGAACATGACACGATAAAATAATAATGGGAACATGCAAATATACTTCTTGCAAATGTATAGACAGCAGGACATCTCCAAAATGTCCAATAATGAACAAATCCACTGATTTTTTTTCAAGTCTAAGACTACACTGTAATCCTCATTTGTTTTGGGGGATTGTGAAGAATTGGAAATAAATCCAGATATTTATCTCACTGAAAGGATGTACTTCCTCTAATGCTATTCCTTCTAATGTAGCTATATTTGGCCCACTCATTACAAAAACTCATTAAAGGTGGATTCAGTTATGTATAAAGAGTTTTGAATAACATAAAGGTTCGACTGTAATTTGACCATAGAATCATGCTGGAGGTCTTATTACACAATGGGTCCTATAACTGATCTATTACGTTAATACATGGATCTACATTACATTTTTCTTGAAAGTGTTATGTCACTCCTGTAGTATTTTCTTTCTCTTTTTTATTATTTTGTATAGTTGGTAGTATCTTCCCTCCCAAAAGTAATTTACCGATAAAAAGTATATTCACGAATGTGGTCTTCTGGTCTACCTCACAATGCTCAAGCCACAATTAATGGCTCCCCACAGCAGTTTGCTTTGGCTGCAAAAGTTATGGCATCATAGCTAACATACTGCAGCATTATTCCAACCAATGTAGTGTCTTCTGCAAACTGTATAAGCACCTATATCTTCAGAGTCAAAGATTTCTCGAACCTATAACATACACATTTCTGTTAACTATTGCTGAGAGGAAGTTATCAATCTTCCCACTTTACTCAGGTTATTTTACAATGGCATTTTCATAATTGTTATGTCCAAAAGAATATACATAAACAACCAATGTCTAGTTCCAATAATTCTAATGGAATCTTAAAATGTCTTGCTAGTTGTTTTCATTCCTTCATGTCAGACTAAGAAAAAAAGTGGAAAGCAGTTAAATATAGGTACCTTTTCTTTACTTATTCCTTTAACGATGTCTGACATTCTGTTCTCCAAGACTGGGTCTCCTTGTGTTTTTATCATACTTCCAGGCAAGGGAGGGAAATTCGAGGCAAGTAAGTCAAACTTTGGTGTCAAAGTCTTGGCTTCAACTGAAGGCTGAGGTCGCTACAAGAAAAAGGAGTGTGTTAGCGTATTACAAAGTAATAGCATATTGCTCTCATGTCCCATTATTAGACAAAATTATCAAAATTAGCACTAAGGCATATGAAAATTTCTACCATCTTTAGTAGTAATTAAATAGCACTGTGTTGATGGATATTAAATGTTATCGAACAGAATAAGAAAAAATACCTGTATTTCATTGTGTACCGGTCACCACCATATAACAGTCACACATCCTCCCCCCCCCCCAAAAAAAGTTGGTATTTTTCCTTTCTTTGCATAATCATTGCAGCCTCATTGATGTATCTGCCAGCAGTACATCAATGTACTGCTGGCAGATTATCTGTATGTAGTGTCGCCTGCAAAAGAAGACAGCTTCCTCATTGTAAATGGTCTAGCTAACACTTCCTTCTTCCTGTGAATTGCTGCATAGTACAAACAACAGCTTCACACACCCCTTACGGCTCTTCCCTTGGGCTGAAAGTACTGGGTTGAAGAGGGTGACAATACTGTGTGATTGGGGAGCAGGCAAAGCTGTTGTTTGTAGAGTGCAGCAAGTCACATGAAAAGGGAAGCCTGGAGTCTTCCCTGAGCTAACTAGACTGTTTACAGTGGGGAAGCTGGCCTCCCTCTGCTGGCTACACTGTATGCAAATCAGCAATACACTGATTTTTTTTTTTTTTTAAAAAACACTCCTTTTTCAGCCAAAAAAATAACTATTAGTATTACTCAGTGGTGGGGCATAAGCAGGTCATGGTCCAAGATACCATTTTCATGCCACACGAGATGCTGTGAAAAGGATTTTTTTAACAAACATTACTTACGGTAAAACCCAAAAAATACTTACTGAAAGTCTGTCATCTTCTCTTCTCCTTCTTCCTCTGAAAATGTTCCTCCTGCAAATTAGTGAAGAAGAGCTTCCATGAACATTTTCTTATAATTCCAATATTGAAAATTGTGCTGAAGTTGTCAGGAGTTACATATGTGATTTTCTTCTTCCTTACATTTTACAGAAACTAACCTACTTAAGAAAAGTAATACAGAAGAGTGATATAGCATACTTTGCATACAAGGCATCAGATTAAAGAATGGCTTGTAGTAGAAATGCCGGGTGATCAATTTGTCTGTAAACAGTTTCAACTGACTGGAGGAAATAACAAAACACATATTTGAAGTCTTTGCTCCTTACCTGCCCCTGCCCATGCCATAATCACCATTCTGATCTATCTGAGTGACAGAAGAATCCTTCAATGAATAGCTTTGTTCTTGATTTCCTGATAATGTAGGAGCTTGCCGATCTGTCTGAAAATTCCTTGAGTTAGCTCTGTGCAAATGTCCATCTCCTACTGACACAGTGCTGACAGCAGATGTTATTTCCACCGAGTGTTCAGAGTTGCTCGGCAGTCGAAAATGAGGCTTCATACTGGATGAGAGAAAATTGAGGAATGTGAAGAGTACAGTAACAGCATAAACACAGGCTTCCACAACAAAGCTTAACCAGCCCTATCAAACGACTCTTTTAACTACCATAATCAGATTTTTCTACTTACTGCGAATATATAAATCTGCGTTTTTCAAAAATACTGCAATTATAAATTGAAATAAAACTTTATCTCACTTGTACAATATATCTCACTTTGTGCAGGTCACAAAGTAACTAGGTTTTGCAATGTCCATAAAAAATGTTGATGCAAGGTTGCCGGAACTTTGCTGATGCCATTTTTCTTTCCACAAATGTTTTGATGGGTCAGAGATGCCAAGCTTTAACATCAATTAGGAAATAGTTGCACACAACTCTTTCGCAGAGTTCTATAACATGCTATTTAGACAAGAAGAGACATCAAAAGAAAAAGATAGCTAAACAGTCTCAGATGTTCATGTTCTATATGTATATCAAATATCTCCTCTTACCTCTTTAGCTTTATCGAAACGTATTGCTCCGATTTCCTCCACCTTATTCCAGTTTCCCATCGCTTTCTCACCAAAAACTAAATACAGGGCTTATTTTAAAAATATTTAATATGTGGTGGCGAGGTAATTGAATACCTATATTAGGAGACCACTATTCCATTTCAACATATGTCACTCACTCAGTTTCAATATGAATGCCCATAACGGCCACTTCAGAACACATTGTTCAGGAAATGATAGCAAAACAGTAGCAAACTTAAAAGTTTGCACAATCAGGTAACAGGTCAGCACCTACACTGTGTTTTTCATACTGCAACTGCTGGTTTCATTATCAAATTCCTACCTGTAACTTTCTATTTTTCTTCCTTTTTCTCTCATTCAGGATCTTGACTATATGTGAGAGGGTGGCTGATAATCTCAAAACAAGCAGATCCTTTGAAACCTCTCCAGAATTAATGTCACTGACATATTGTAAGATGCCATGATTTGCTATCTCCAAAACAATTATGATTATTCAGCATTAAACAACAGGGCAATTTAAAGTAAAGTAGCATTTTTACAGAGGTTTGAGTGAATACACCGCATCAAGCCATTTTGTCGGGTTGATGTACTAGATCAGGCATGGGCAAACTTTGGCCCTCCAAGTGTTTTGGACTCCAACTCCCACAATTCGTATCGACTGTTAGAAATTATGAGAGTTGAAGTCCAAAACACCTGGAGGGACAAAGTTTGCCCACGCATGTACTAGATGAATCAAGGTAAAAGGGATCACAGGGATCTTCAACTCCAGCCCCCTGCCATACAGGAGCACAGAACTAAAGCACTCCTGAAGCACTCCTAAAGCATCTTGCCCATCAAATGTTTGTTTAAAAACGTTGAAGGATAGAGTGTCCACTACTCTCCTATTCTAGCACAATGGCTTTATCAGTAAAAAAAACAAAACAAAACATGCCTCTTCCTAATATTTAGGTGGGATCTCAATTCTTGTAATCTAAATTCACTGCTTTGTGTTCAAGTCTCATGTTAAGCATTTTTAAAGAGGCAGTTGTTACAACACAAATACAAGACTTTTGTGAATAATGGATATACTACATCTTAAGATTCTACAGATTATAACCTACATCAGATGAGGTTTACTATAAAAGCTTAAACTGCAATACACGTGTTAACTTTTATTAAAATAAAGCCAACTATTAATGAAAACATTTGTTGGCAGAAAACCATGATCTCTATTAAACTGATTTAATCTCAAATGGTGCACATGTGTTAGTCACAATAATTTAATAAGACTTTTTCTATATCCAAGAGAGATTTAACAAGCAGCTGGTAGTTCTTTTTTTCTGCAGGAGGAAGCATCCCAGTTCTTACTAATCCAACCCTTCTGTTTCAAGTTTACTTTCAAAGTCCTGTGTGACGTTTCAAACTAATTCACAAAAGGATACTGAATGCTGTACGATTTCACAAAGCTGTTTCAATAACTTTATCTTGTGAAAAATAACCCATTAAGGGAAACAGAAAGATTCTTTATATCACATTGCAATGCAAGTTTCACTGGCAATTATGGAATTAACCATTTGCCAATTCAGGACAAAAACAGGACTAAAAAGTTGTAATTATTAAACAGGAATACAGATCACTGAAAGTTAACTTTCAAGGTACGAGGGTCAAGCTTGAAATCCCAAACCTATAATCGCTAATGTGCAGCATGAATCTAATTGTCTAATGCTTACAATCCAGCTGGAAAATTAAAACTGCACAACTATTTCATGTTACGTAAAGTAACTCTCTTCCATAATGTGGTTCTGCAAACTGCTGAAAGATATGGAACTTTCTCTTTTCATAAAATGTTTGTGTTGCTAAAAATTACAAATGCCATCATTTTTTGTTTTCCTCTCATTGACAACACACACATTGGTGGGAATGTAAAACTGGAAGGTAAGTGCAAATTGCTATTAGGGAACAAATATTTCCCAAATGCTTGGAAACCAATACTATAAAAATGTAAGATAATATTAAAATTTATTTTAATATTACCATACAGTTTTAAACTGTAAGGAATAAAAAAATAAAAAATAAACAATGGAATAAATTAAAAAAACACAAAAGGGAAGAAAAAAATCCCAATACACAACTAGCTGAAATGAAACAACTTTGCAGATTTCTTTCAGCTGCTAAAGCTATAGTTTCATAGTCCATCGTATGTTAGGCATACTGACTGTTAGCCATGAACTTTAGCCTCATTCAAATATGTACAGAGGCAGCCAGTGGAAAAGAATCCGTAATTAAAAGTTCTACCTGTTTACTGGAATTTTTGTTGTGAATGGCTTTATCAGTGTGTAAATCTTTACTGCTATGTCAGAACTGAGATTAATTTAGTGAATGAATCACAAAGATGCAATACATTTGCGAATTAAACTTTTTCTTCTGGAAAAGCCTTTTTATATATGCAAAAATGATGCCATCATCTACAGTAATATAACACTAAGAAGAAAAGGAGCCTTGTTTCTAGGCCTTCATTGGAGAATTTGTAAAGATACAGGCATTGGCCTTGGCTGGCATTCCCTGCAGTAGGCTACTGCAACGCTCTCTATGTGGGGTTGCCTTTGAAGACAGCTCGGAAGCTCCAACTAGTCCAACGCTCGGCAGCCATGATTTTAACAGGAGCGGAGCGCAGGGAGCATACAACCCCCCTGTTGCGCGAACTCCACTGGCTACCGATCTGCTACCGGGCTGAATTCAAAGTGCTGGCGTTGGCCTTTAAAGCCCTAAACGGTTCCGGCCCAAGCTACCTATCTGACCGCATCTCTGCCTATGAACCCACCAGGACTTTGAGATCTTCCGGGAAGACCCTGCTCTCGATCCCGCCTGCTTCTCAAGCTCGGCTGGCGGGGACGAGAGATAGGGCCTTCTCGGTGGTGGCTCCTCGGCTGTGGAACGCCCTTCCTACGGACATTAGACTAGCACCATCTCTAATGGTATTCCGCAAAAAGGTGAAGACCTGGATGTTTGTGCAGGCGTTTGAGTAATTTAGTGCAATCTGGTAATGGGATATAGGAATGGAACAATGGACGACGAACCTGGACTACGCTTGGATGATGAGAAGATTGGGTACAGTTGTTTCATAATAATTGTGCATTGTAATTGCTTATTGGTAATTTATGGATAATGTGTTAAGTCAATTGTTATATGTTGTATGGAACCACTGCTGTTTCTACTGTTTTTTTACTGTTTGTGAACCGCTGTGAATCGCCTTCGGGCTTGAGATACAGCGGTATATAAGCAAAGTAAATAAATAAATAAATAAATAATAGGTGAACTAAAAGCCGGGGGGGGGGGGGGGGGAGGAGTTCACCTCCTTGGCTCAAAAAAAGCATAGTTACCATGTAATCTCTGTCACTAGGTCTTACAAATAGTATAAAATCTGATTTTTAATTTTATATTTAATCTTATATTCTCTTTAAAAAAATGTCTGTGAAGAAAACTGAAACAGTGTTCCAGATATTTTGATGATGTTTTGGCAGATGATAAAAAGAATATTCTTTATTTACAAATACAGTAAGATTAGCAATATAAAATCTTATCCATTCTTGCTATTTTTCAGTAAATCAAAAAATAGGTAGTGAGAATTAAGAAAAACAATGGAATTTAAGCTCACATTAAATACTGCTTGCTAAGAAAGCAAAAAAAAAAAGACTTTAAAGGTATGATGTGAATGACTTCAAGAAACAGATAACCAATTTTTGCTAAGAATTCAAGGTCTACTAATCCTGAAGCTTTTTTTTACAAGGACTTTCATTAGATAAGTTATCAAGACACAAGTAGAAGTAACCACCCTGAATCCCCTTGGGGAGATAGGTGTGGGATAGAAACAAAGTTTTATTATTTTATATTATTACTAGCCGCCCCCCTGCCACACATTGTTGTGGCCCAGTCTGTGTACATGTGTTCTGTGTTTGTTTATATGTGTGTGTATATATTTGTGTATATGTGTGTTTGTGTGTGTGTGGTTTTGCGCATGCGTTGTAATTTTTTGGGGATTTTAAAATCTCTTCTGCTGTGTTTTTCAGTCTTTTTATGAGTGATGGTCACTTGTTGGCCTGATAAGTGTATTGTGTCCAAATTTGGTGTCAATTCATCCAGTGGTTTTTGAGTTATGTTAATCCCACAAACAAACATTACATTTTTATTTATATAGATATAACTATCAGTACAGTCTTAAAACTCGTATCAACACTCTTCGTACCGGTTTCTATGGAATGGGCGATTTATACTCAATGCAGCAGCATTTGTCTTGTATGAGCCTGGCGAGCTGAAGCCATTAACAAATCCACCATTGGGAAATGGAGCCTACAGTGAACACAAAGGATTATCAGGCGTTGTTGCACAGAAATCACTCCACTGAAAATCAAGGTTTTTGACAATATAGGGGACTGGAAAGATGCTGACTTACAAATTACAAACTCAAACCAAAATATATCTACATATGAATGCCTCTACATTTGCTAAAACCATTTTTTTTTTCATTTTTAAGTATACTCAACTATAATGAGGAGGCTTATATTGCTGTTACACTGGCCAGGGGGGAAGCCATGGAAATATATGTGACTAGTCCTAGCAAGAGGAAGAAAGAACAGCACTGGCTGCAGAGGCTGGGCTGGGATACAGGAGAGAAGGTTAAGAAAAACACCCTTAAGCTTCTCTCCAACATCCCACCCCAACCTCTGCAGTTATAAATTTCTGTGGAATTTTTCTCTTTTTACATGCTGCAGTGGAAAGAACTGCATGTTAATTCCCATTGCCATTATTATCATCTTTACTTGTAACCTGATTTTTCCCCAAAGTTAGGACTCAAGGTGGCTTACAAATTAAAATGATTGTAAGATAATTAACAACACAAGAGCAAAATTACACTATTAGCTATACTCTAGCAATTTAAACATTAGCTTTAAAAAGATTTTTTTTAAAAAAAAAACAGTTAACTAGTACAATTTTAAAAATCACAGCCCTCATACAGTACTTTCCTTGAGCCTATCTTAATGAAAAATATATTTGGCTGCTAACAGAAAGACAGCAAGGCCATTCCATTCTCCCTAAGGAGCCAGTTTCAGTCTAAGGATAGCCACCAACAAGGCCCTCTCTGGTGTTCCCATCAACATTCCCAGTGACAGGAATGAAAAAAGGGATTCTGGGTCTGAGGGAGGCTCATAGGGTGACATAGTCTGTCCAGGGAGGCTCATAGGATGACATACAGTATGTCAAACAGCCCGGGTATAGAACATATATAGCTTTATAAGTCATATCATACCCTTTCCCTGGCCATGTGAACCAGAAAAGCTGGATCAAATGTAGGATAATGTGGGATAAGGCTCAAGTTTAATAATATCAAGATGCCCCAAATTCTTAAAAGTGAATCAGTAATATTCATTAATGTACAATGTTTGAAACCAAAGGAAGCTGACTCCTATTTGAGATGCAAACAACCCCTTACCAGTGGTGTTTCAAAATAAGGTGCAGGGTTTGGAGACCATGTCTGAGGCACAATACTGTAGATGGAGTACTGCTGAGGACTATATACAGGCTGCATAAATAGTGGTGAGGCAAACTGTGCTTGTGTTTGAACTGGCTGAACGTAAACACTGGAATCCACCGCCCGGTAACCATTCTTTGCAAAAAATGTATTGATGGCTTTTATCCTGGCCTACAAAAGAAAGATAAAGGCATGTAATGCAACTCATACATACTTAGATTGCCACAATATCAATCTGCAGTATAGTAAAAGAAGAGAAGCCTCAGGTTAGTCTGCAACAGGTTAGTCTGTAACATTAGTTAAACATTTTGCATTAACTACTAAGATAAATGGCAATTCAACCTAATGCTGCTTTAGATTCTTTGTTTACTAAGACAAAAAGTTCTAAATCTAATTAGGAGTAGCTGACATCCCATCTAATTTTCAGTAATCCACTTGATATTGAACAGTGCTTGATCTTCCAAATTCCTGTGGAAATTAAAACTTCCCTTTCATGTTTCACTTTGTTCATGTTAAGTATTGTTGAACTGGTACTATGGTTATAGATGTAACTGCTACAAAACCAGGTTGGTAATGCACAATTTCAAACAGTGAAGCAGAATACCATTAACTGTGCTTGAAGCCAGGGGTAAGAATCCCTTGGTTTCTATTTGTGCGGAAAATTACAGAATACTGGCTTTGAAGATCTTCAGAGGATGTGATTCTCAGATGAAACAAGGCACAGCCCTCTCCACAAGGGAAGTGCATCCAGGAAATGGAAAATAGGTAGGCACAGCTTCCAGGTCACATACAGCTAGCCACTTGGAAATATTTACCTATTATACCTATATATAACTGTATTTAAATTGAGCCCACTACTTCAATATGAGACTAAAACAATATGTGGTAATACTTACCATTATTGGCTTGCCCTGAAAGGTTTTAACTTCTTCCCGCAAGTATTTGAATGCCTGTACAGATATAAAAACATTCACTGAGAGTTCCAGTTGGAACTATTTGGCAAAATAAAGTGCTGCACTTTAATACTGTAAAGACTACAAATCAGAAATCTGGGCCCATTTACTAATTTAGGAACACTAGTTAATTTGGCCCTCTAAGATGCTACCATATATACTAAAGTTCACCTCATGTATAACTGAAGGGCAGGTTCTGGTGCTAAAATTATGGATTTTTATGCAAGGCTCATTCCATAGGGATGGCAAACGATAAGTGCAACCTCAGGGAACCAGCGGTCCCAAGCCACTACCACCATCATTCTCATCAATGTTACCACTAGGCATGAGGAACATGCCAGATGACATCAGAGGGATGATTGCTGCTGCAACCTCTACAATCATCAACCCACCTGGGACACGTGGTGTCACCCCTATAGGATTCCTTCTGAACCACAATTGCCGTATTTTTCCTTCCCTTCTGGACCACTTAAGAGCAGGAAGGGGACAGTTTACTCACAATATGCAAGTGAAATATCACTTTTCCCCTCCTTTGTCCATGCCACACACCCCCTCCAAAAATGACTTTGTGCATATGTCTGCGCACAGAGAGACACAATGCTGAGTCATCATTGCTGTCTCCTTCTCCTCAATTTCATATTATTTGTTCTATTTTAAATTTCTGTGTTATTTAAGTGCAGGGGAATCAGAACTAATTGTTGCTGTTGTGATGTAACAAAACGCATTAGTATGGTGAAATGCTTACCAAGATGTAGTAGCCTTACCTGCTGTGCATCAGTATCTGACTGGAATGTAATGTACCAGTTGTTATTGTGAGCAAATTCACAACTTATCACTTTGGGGCAGCTTTCATTTTTAAACAATGCCTTCACTTCCTGGAACCAAAATATGAAGATTTTCAGTAAAATACAATTACTAAGTGTTTTCCTTTTAAGATACATTCCACATGACTAATTTCTTGTGGCATCTGACCCAAGTTATATATCAGAAGGGAGAACTTACAATTTTAAAATGTAAAAAAACAGCACGTATGAGTGTGTATGTGTGTAATGCCACCATTTACCATCTTAACTTTTACCTCTATCACAATTCTATAAAATAGAAAATGAACAGAACAGCCTGAACTGTTGCCTTTATTAGCAATGAATACATTACTCCCACTTTTCACTTGAAAATAGAATAGTGCAATATTTCAGTTATCTCCTAGTAACAAATTTTCCAAAACCAGTATGTGATAGTCAAACCCAAACTACAGAACAAATGTTTTCTAAAAAGAGCTAAGGAATTATCATAACCAATTTATTCAGTTTCCAAAGTTAACACAAAAGTGTGTTTATTTTTTCAAGAAGAAAAAATATTACAAGCAAAAAGTATTACTTACACAATGCAATATCCATAACGTTTTCAGTAGCAAAATAAGTTTTCTATTATGCATATTATGTTACTTCAAAATCTGCTTCACAGAACTAGCATCAATGCTGAACAGAGTAATTGGCCTTGATTGTGCTTCCTTCCAGCTTCAAAATGAGTTTGGAATTGTCTAATTCATATTTATATTCAAAGTAGATTTCTTACCTCCACTGGTGTTGTTTCAGGGATCTCACGAAGAATAATAATACATCGTTTGTGGTTTGGCCTAACTTTTTCTCCTTTCTCATCCACTTGGACTATAGGAGAAGCTAAATGAAAACACAGCAAGCATCACAAGAACAAATATTTTCCAACATCACATGATCTAACTAGTAACATGAGATCACAATCACTTACTTTTGACCAACTTTCAGCTTAGTTTGTTGAGTAGATCAGTTACTTCATTCTAGTCAGCATTCAATGTGAACTATTTTTGTCATGCTTTTTAAAATAATATTTCTGCCTCTTGTTAACAGTTTTTCAAAGTAGCAACATAAAATAAAATAGGCTAAATAGATCCACTCAGTTCAACAATGGAATGGAGAAATTGCTCTCTTAACAAAAAAAATCCAATTCAAAATGACTAAAGCTTTGCTTTTATAAGAATGTCAAAGTATTTATTTAGTGTATTTATATACCTCCTTTCTCACCCCTAGGGGAACCCATGGCAGTTTATGAATTCTGAATCAATAAGTATAGCAAAATATACTTCATGACAATGGGAGGAACTTTTAAAATATTAAGGTATGTTATGAATATATGTTTCAGGTATCTATGTGCATTTATTAAATACAAAATAATGAATTAACTCAAGGGTACATTGCTTTATATATTGATGACATTCAATTCTCAAATTCTGGGAAGTGTAGTTATTCAATAAGCAAAATTCAACTGTACATTCAAGTACACATTTTCTAATCAGTTATCACATTCTATGAAATGTGCAAGGTTTATGGGATACTACAAAGAGTTGATTTGCACACTCAATGAACACATAAACCAGAGTGGTAAAAGAAGGTTAACATAATAAAACTGATAAAAGATTTAGACGTACATCTCAATACTTCCACAATAAGATCCATATTGGTTGTCAGTTTCTTAATGCCTTCCATGTTGGCGATTGTCCATATTGGAATAAACTGATCACTGTCCATTTGAGACATCAAGTAAAGGTCCTTGGAAAGATTCTCACTAAGAAATAAAGAAGCAACTTTAATGACTATAAGAACCACATTCTGCATTCTTTTTTAAAATAATCAAAATATATTATAGAAACAGAATGAAAGATAACATACAAAACAGATACAAATACTTCTAGAATATATATATAAAGCATGTTTAGTCCTATAAAACACATTCTCACTAGGATATACTAAAAAGGATAGATCACAATAAAAACATAGCTGAAGTGCTCAATATCAGTATCTGAACTAACAATTCCAGGTCTTTATCATATCACAGAATATTAACATCACCTGCCCTTATTGGTTTAATATGGTCAGTTCATGCTAGATTATTGGACAACCAGCTGTTACTTGAAATATTAGGTCAAAAAGATAGTACCAGTCTGTTTCTGCTTCAATATCATGACACTATTAGCATGAGGAACTTGTGCCAGACATTTGTCTGTAGATTGTCCAACTGATCCCTGCCCCTTTAAACATGTCATAAACTCAAATCTAATCCAAACTATGTTTACGATACCGTGAAAAACAGAACTCTAGTTGTTTCTTCAAACATTCTTTCAGGTCTTCTGGGGAAATAAGCGAACTGCCTTCACCTGAGAAAGATATTTTAAAATGTATTTAAACAAAGTATGTCAAAAAGAACCTTTCCTGACATTTATTTTTGTGCATATGATTTTTTTTTAATTTTAAGAATGATCAACTGACAAGCTAGAATTGTTCTCACTCTGACAAGGGGGAACATTCAGAACTTATACCATACATATTAAAATTATATTTATAGTTATTTTCAATTTATGATTCCAGGTCAGAAAAGAAGAGACCATAAAATGAGATCACATTATAATGCAGGGTGAGCAGAACTATGTAGACATAAAAGGCAAAAATTAGATAAAGAAAATTTAAATATCTCAGGCAATCAATTAGATTTGACCAAGTACTGAAACAAAGAGCAATGATAGCTGTGCATTCACTGAAAAAAATGTCCCACAACCAGGATCCACAACAGAGAAGGGCGCTTTGTGTCACAATGTATCAACAGAAGCTAGAGAGGTCAAACTAAGATCCCCTCATGGTAGGCTTGTGTAAAGGGAGTCAGTCCTGTTGTTCATAGCATTAGAGGAAGTGTTGACATCTTGAATTGGTCTGAGAAGCAAATAGGAAGCCAGTGCATTTCTTCTATTATAAATGTAGGATGTCTACACCTGGTTGAACAAATCACAGCCCAAACAGAAAACAAGAGACTAAAAATGAAAATGATGTTTTTTCCAAGACCAAAAATGGCCTGAAATCTAAATCAAGAATAGGAACTTTATTCTGTCAATCAAATAAACAATGTGGGTTAGCTAATAAGCAGCACAGAAGAGGGACAAATGATCAAACCTTCACAAAATTAGTGGGTTTTGAAGAGACTACTAATATTTTAAAACCTTTGAAATGCAAGGGAAACTTGCACTGTAACACATAATATCTCATAATGTCATCATTAGTTTAAAACTGGACCTTGGGAGCTCAAAACTATTCATGACAAGAGTGAAAAAGAATATTAAAAGTTAAAAATTCAAATGAAAAGCTATAACTCACATCCGACATTTTTTTAGAACACTCCACTTTCCTCCCTACTCCAAAAATGCTTACAGAAAAGAAATAACACTTTCAACCTGCAAGTACTTCTGTTTCGGGTCCCCTAAAATTCCACTGTTAGTAATCCTTTGATCATATTATCAAACTACACCAAAGTGTTTAAATCTACACATTATACCACAAGCTGTGGTCTTACAATTTTGCTGAAAAATGAGATTTAAAAGTCATCCAGAACAATTTATGAACTTAAAGGTTGTAATATGCTACATTTTCAAAATCCAGCATATGCTGAAGAAAACAAGTAAACATACAACTCTTCCAACACTGAAATACTGGTGATAATCTTCACATACAGAGAAATTCAACTCGAGATATGGCCATATAGTAATACATAGCTTCAAATCCAAGTTACTGCTCAACTACAGCTGACTCATGCATCATCTTCAGAAGAGCAAGCCAATACTTACATAAATCTCACCGATTCAATAGGTTTATTCTAGCTGCAAACAGTACTTGGATTTATCTACAAAATGTGGAATTCTGAAATTCTAGTTGATAGCATTTATACTTGAACATTAGGAACTAAAATTAGAAAATTCTACAAACTTTTTAGTAATTAAGTTTTAGCAGGTAGGATGCTTACCAGAAACATCATAGAGTTGGTATCCAAGATCCTCATGTGCCAAGACCATGCCATTAGCAGCTGTTTCCTCAACCCCTGAACTGCTTCTTGACAGTTCACATGATGAGTACATTGCTTCATACTGCTTAGCACCATCGTCCGCAACCTCAGCATTACCTGACACAAATACAGGAACAATCAAAGATAAATTACAAACCATGAAAAATAATTCATTCCATTGTCAAAGGCTTTCATGGCCGGAATCACTGGGTTGTTTTAGGTTTTTTCGGGCTGTATGGCCATGGTCTAGAGGCATTCTCTCCTGACGTTTCGCCTGCATCTATGGCAAGCATGAGGATGCTTGCCATAGATGCAGGCGAAACATCAGGAGAGAATGCCTCTAGACCATGGCCATACAGCCCGAAAAAACCTACAACAACAGATTATTCATTCCATCGTAATCTCTCATTCCTGATAATATTAAAATAAAAAAAAATCTACACCTGAATGCAGCAGTTTTAACTGTCCTCAAGTTTGGCTACAACCACAACAACAGCAACAACCAAAACTTGGTTTTTATACCCCGTCACCACCTCCTTGAAGGGATTCGAGCAGCTTAAAAGCTGGACCCGGCCCAAACCATACAACAAAATACAACCCACATTGCATTCTTATAGCAGATGTCAGTAATCCAGATTTCAAGAGGAACAGAGGTAGTTCCTTTTGAATCACAGTCTATACGTAAGTGTTTAACTGTGATTGAAATGATAAGGAGCGTTACATCTGCCATTAAAACAACTGTTGTGATAGTTCCTCTATGCTTCCAAGTTACCTCCAACTTATGGCAACCCTAAGGCAAACCCATCACATGGTTCTTGGCAAAACTTGTCCCCCCCCCCCCAAAAAAAAGGTTTTCCATAACTGAGCGGCCAGAGTCATAGTCCAACACTCCCGCCACAACATCATGCTGGCTCCCTATGATTAAGAGTTTCTAACTAACACTTAGTAAAAGTGTAGTATGAACCAGTTTTAACTTGCATACTGAGCTTTCCAAAACCTAAAATTAACTTCAGTTGCCCTGATCAGTCACTCCTAACAACCTGGCTATTTACATTGACAACTTAGATTGTATTGATCACATGCATACAATTCTTCAGATGCTTTCATCTGATGAACAACATAAAAGGGTTAAATAAACCAAAAGTCAAAACGGTTTACCAATTCCTTTTTATTGTTCCTATGCAAATAGCTTTCCAGTGCAATGTTTTTCCTCCATCTCAAACAAATGATTCCTTTAACTGGTTTCTAAACCAAATTATGATAGCAGTTTTACTTCACATCTGTTTGTTACAGTGATATGAGAAGCAATACACCACATTGATGCTTTGAATTCCAAATATTATGGTAATATTTGTTGAATGTTTACACCTTCTCATTCACACATAGGGATGCACTATATATTAATCCCAATGTTCTGTAACTTTAGCTGTACCTGAGCTACAAGTTAGCTATAAGTCCAAATTAATTATATTGGATGGTTGTATCTTAACTTATTACTGTAGTCCAAATTGTGAAAGAATCTTTTCCCCATTCTATAAAGTCATCTCACTCTGACCTCAAGCAAACTGCTTAACGCTCCAAGAAATCTTTAATAAACTTTAGTCTGCTATTTCATTGAAACCAGAAAACTATAATTAACAGTTCCAGAACAACTAAACTACAGTTTGCTCTCAAAGCTGCGATTAGTTTTTCTGTTCAGGTGAAAGGTGTATTGCAGCTAAGTAAAAACTTCCTAATCTGCACTATCTCAAAGAAACAGGCAATGGAACTATGGGCATGAAGAATGAGATTATTGTCATTACAATTTATGACAACCCTATGAATGAGAGACATCCAAGACATTCAGTCATCAACAACCCTGCTCTGGCCCTGTAAACTCAGGACAATAATTTCCTTGATTAAGTCTATCTACCTGTATTTCCAGTCTTCCTTTTCCTACTGTCTCCCATTTTCCCATGCCTTATAGTCTTCTCTAATGAGTCATGTCATCTCACGATATGGCCAAAATGTGATTGTCACAGTTTTGTTCTTTTGGTTTCTAACGAGACTTCGGGTTGTTGATCTAGGACTCATCCATTATGAAATAATTGATTCTCTTTCTCTCAGCTTTCTTCCCTTTCAGCTTTTCCAACCATATATAGGTATCAGAAATATGAAGGCAGGGACAATACTTTGGTATTAAACTATCTGTCTTTACATTAGAGGATCGTATCTAGTTTCATCATAGCTGTTTTTCCAAGTCCTAACGTCTCCTGATTTCTTGATTGCAGTCCTGCTGATCCAAGTTATATAAAGTTTTTGATCATTTCTATGTCTTCGTAATCCCTTTTGAAATGGTGTAAATTTCAATCTTTACTTTCTTCACATTCAACTGTAACCTATTTTTTCACTTTCTTCCCTGAAATTCCTCAATATTCATTCCAAATAGTAACTATTTTCTGCTAGCAGTATGATAGCACTTGCCTATCTTAAATTACTGGAGTTTCTCCCTCCAGTATGATCTTCCTCAAAGTCTAATCTAGCTTCCCATATACCTGTATTCCATCACATAATAGTCACCACTCCCTTTTTGGGTGCCAGTTTTGGGATTGTATGATTCCTCGCTGAATAGCTGCACTCTTGATTTAGGCAGCCTCTCCACTGTAAACAGTCTGACATTCCCGTCCGCCAGCTTGCCCATCTGCCCTTGCTTTATTCACTTGCTCACTTTCCTATCCGCTCATCCAAACACACATCCATCTACCTATCCACCCACCCACTCACTCACTCGCATGCCATCCATTCACATGCATGCCCATCCATCTGCTTGGCCATCCCCTTCCAGGAACGCCGTTTCAAGCCGAGTCAATGGCTTGGTGTGTTAGCAAGCAAGATGGGTGGTTAAATGGGTGGGTAACTTCAAGCAGTGTTCCTAAAAGGGGGTGGGTAAGCAAATGGATGGGTGTGCAAATAAGTGCATGAGTGAGTGGCTGAAAGGATGGATGGGTGTGTGTATGAGTGAGTGCATGGATGGATAGATGGTTAGGTGAATGAGTCTTTGGGTGGGTGGGTGGGCAAGTGAGTGATGTACATCAGATAATGAAAGCAATGATAGTGGCGTAGAGTCTTCCAACAAGGAAGATTAAAATGTTTTAACTATGCAAATGTATTTTTCTACACACTCTTGTATATTTTCTCAATTTTTTTCCATTATCAGTTTATTAAAGTTACTGTTTTGATAAAAGTGTGACTATTGTGCTATGAAGTACAGTATGTCCCATACATAAATGTAGCCCTGCCCAACCATTTTACAAATGGCAAACCACTTTCTCCATATCCTGTCCTTAAAGAATAATAAAGCATTATGATACAATTATTTCTTTTAGACTGACCCTCCATTTATAAAAATCTACACAATCAAAGGTTTTGCTGATATCTACAAAGTACAAGCAAATTTTCTTCAGAAATTCTTGGGTATAATCTATTATCCAACATTTGTTTGCAATATGATTTCTAATGCCCCTTCCTTTTCTGAGCCCAGGTTATACACCTTGCATTTCTTACTAAGCATATAGTAAAAGTCTTTGTTGTAAAATTTTGAGCATCACTTTGCTTGCATAGAAAATTAATTTGTGGGTACAGGAATATGGTATAGTTATGGTGACCCTAACATGAACATATCATAGGGATTTCTTGACAAGATTTGTTCAGTTAGGCTGAGTGAAACTTACCTAAAGTCATCTAGTGGTGTCCATGGCCAAGTGAGGATTCAAACCTAGACTCACAGAATCAGTCCACCACTCAAATCACTACACCACTCTCATCTATATCTAGTGATTTATTTCTCGCAAGTACTTTAAGAACTTTTCCTCTTCATTTTATAATCAAAAAATAGTATCAAAACTTACTGGGATATGGTCAAATTAGCCCTTTGAGTCTTAGTAGCAGTTGATGGCAATTTTATCTAGCTCTCTTTCTGATTTTTTTTTTTTTTTGCAGACAAAGCCAAGAGGGTCACTTTATATGTTACATAATCATTTGAGTCTCTTAGCAAAAACGGAGTCCTTTGTACAAGAGAGCTGCCATTGTCTTTTATCAGCAAGGGTTTCAAATATCTTTATCTCGGGTCACAGTACAAAGGGCAGTTTGGCATTTCACTTTATAGGATTCTGAGTTTAACCTCAAATGATTTCTCCTTGAAGGAATCTGTCAGTTCTTTGCTATACTGCTTTTATTCGTACTGATCATATTATCTTTCTCCTGTTAATTACATAGCATCCCTGCTTTTGGTTTGAATTGTGCTCCTATTCTTAGATCTTGTGGCAGAATTCTCTTCTTCTACCCATTTTCTTCTATTTCTTTACATTTATTTTTTATAATAGTTCTTTGTTCCTACCCAAAAACTGCTAAAGAGCAACATTCAAGGTGTCGACCCTATTTTGCCACCTTTTACTTTTTTCTTCTTGTCTGTCCTTAAAAGTCTGAAGAATTTCATTTATCCTTTAATGAGGCTCCTCCCCTTTTTGGCTCCCAATAATGCCTTTTTGCATTATTTCTTAACAATGTCCCTGGTTTTGATTCAAAGTTTATAAAGATCCCAGTCTTTCATGCAAGCTATAGAACCCAGTTTATTGTTTACATTGTAAATAAATTGTACAGGTATATTTTTAGGTTGCATTTTGGCATCACAAATATCATCCAAATTACTAAAGTTTCATTAGCAACTTTGGATAATAGGCTTAGGTTCGTGTCTGTTAATAATAGAAAATAACACTATCCTTTACATATCATGAATGCAAAAAAAAATGCACAGGTCATTAACCAGTTCAACTTACTATAATGAGAGCCAACAACACGGGAAATACAAGTACATCTAACGTACAAAGCAGCTAATATAAGTCAATTGTGATCCTGAATTCCGCTACAAACAGGATCAGTTTTGCAACTGTTGGTCATCCAGCAGTATGTCATTAAACAAGAGTGTCATAATCTTTGAAATTACAGTGCACAGGGCCCTCAGATCTCATAATCTTTTTGTTCACAGGGCCAAGTGTTCACTAAAGTGCAGAAATGACAAGAAAAACTCAAGACAAGAAAGAGAAGAGAAAACAGAGAGGACAAGAAGAAGTAGAATAAAAAAGATGCATTTCTGTACATTTAGCAACTTGTTTCCCTCTTAGCGCGATACTTGGTCATCATTGGGCCTTTGCAGCTATAAAAGAACTGTTTCCAGTATCAATTACTAATAACTTAAATTCCCTCAATGCATCTTCCCCTACAATCAAAATCTTTTTAAAAAAAACAATTTCTTTCATAGTAAAAAATATTGCCACCAGCGTCTACAAGCTGTGACTGTATTGTCAATGACAAGAAGCATTGTTTACTTGATTACTGCTGGATTTGGGCATTCACACTATGTCCACAATCCTAACTAAATGATTAACCCATTGTTAGTATTTAAAATTATATTCTTGATGTCTCACCCTCTGTACAATTTTCTGACACAGTTGCTGTCTCTTGCCATGATTGCTCAGTGCCATTAGTTGTTGGTGCCGCTTCCGAGTTTCCCTGCATGCTTTCCTGCCATACTTTTGCATTAGGATTTAAGCTGGCACCTTTCGATGTTACCTGCTGAGGAAAGAGAAAATATGTATTAGCAAAGACCTGTGGTTTAAAAATGAAAAGAAAAAAACTTTATTGAATTCAGAAGGCCTTTTCTTTTATTTGTAAATCTTCATTGCTTTCCAAAGTGCTTGAAATAAACTGCAGGGAAGACTGCTCCAGGATTTGATGTAGTTAGTTGAGAGACTGAATGACAGCCTATTTTCTGCAAAAATTACTAAGAAGCTAGGAAAGCGAAGCATCACAGATCTCTAGCAATGCTATGCAAAACCACCATACTTTCCCCTATCAAACTGTGCAGTAATTGTGACAGATAGGTTTATTTCCCAACTCACTCCAAAGTCTACATTTATATGTCCTTATACAGAATAGATAAAATATGTTTGATATGACTGCAACATTTTCTAGAATTCAGGCATATATCGTATAACTCTTCTGAGACCTAATTGTTTTAGCTCCTCTCTCACTGAGCTGAGCCACGGTTAAGAATTTAAAACCAACCCCTAGCAGTTTTCCATGGTTCTAAGGGATTTACCAAAAATATGGTTTGTAATATCAAATATCAACATTGCACAAAATCTATGAAGAACATTAGAGGAAAAACCCTGGACCTACAGCAATTATTGAATACTCTTTCCTGTGAAATTCAGCAGCATTCAGTTCAAGCAACAACAGCCAAGCAAAGTGCTGGGGGATGGGAAGTCTGTGTGTGTGTAAGTTTATTCTGCTCAGTTACTATCTGTCAATGAGCAAAATAAACTATGTTTTCAGTACACAACTACTGATTAGATTCAGATTCTCCTTGTGGAGAGGACCTATGATTGTGTTGAGGCTTCTCTAGGGAGACAGTGGGGAGTTTCCTCTTTCCAATGAAGTCCTCAGTTTCACTTCACAGGTTATTAGAAAGGGTCTTCTGCATCTTGTGAACAACTTTTGTATGGCAGAGGGAGCTTCAAAGGCTATCAATAAAATCCCTGCTTCTCCTTTCCTCCAGCCACTTGTCCCATAAGGACAATGCTTCCCACAATGGAGTCTGACTGCACTCAGTGCCTTTATAACATCACTTCTGTGACAAGGCTGAGAACTACTCAGCTCTGAAATTAAATCATTTCATGCAATGAATGTTTCCTTTGCTTTAAGAGCTTTTTATCACAAGCAGCAATGTCCAGAAAACTAAACAAATTCAGAAAATGAGCACAATTCAGTATGTTCTACACAGAACCCACATTTAATGTACCAATGTCAGTGTACTCTTCATACAGTTTGAGGAGAACAGTATGGGAAATTAAAATATTCTTTTGCTGATTTCTAGTAGGGCATCTCCTCTAACCATGGCTTTAAACTCTAACCCCTACACTAAAGGGACAATGAGGTTAGGAGTCTAAAAATATTACAAAGTATTCCCAGGCACAAAATTAGCTGATTAAATGCCTACTGCCAGTACAAAAAGAAACTCTGATTCTTAAGAAGATTAGCTTTTCTACAAACTTGATCCAAACATCATTATAGGAGGAATCTGAATAGCTGTTATCTGAAACAGAGCTTTCCCAACAACTAAATTATATCCTGAAGCAAAGCACAGGAATATAATCTACTTCACTGAGACAATATAATGATACTGAACAAGCACTGACCATCTTGACACAGAGAAGCACAAGCCAGAGATTAAGGAAGTTGAATTTCCAGAGTCTAGCCTTCTGGAGTCTCTCTAGCATCAAGGAGTGGCTTTAGTACCATGCCCTGTCCACAGAGAAAGAAAAATGACATAAGCAAGCAGTCTGGATGCCCACATATATACCTTTGCCCACATCAAGATAATGAACATCAGTATGCTTCATACACTATAATGCTACCTGCAGTTTCTTCACAACCTTTAATGCATAAAAGGCTAAAAAAACTAAGTAACAGAGAAGACTGAAGGAATGAATAGAGAAGATTATTCCAGAAGAAAATGGCACACTCCATTTTAAAATCAAAAACACAAAAGTGAGTTGAAATGCAGTCTTAATCAGCTTCATAACAACATCATGTTTAACAAGCACAGTACGATACCATATCTTCAGAAAAATGGTAAAACTGTTCCTTCTCAAGAACTAGTTGCATTGGACTTGCAACAACAAGGAAAAACAAGGAGAAAGGCAGAGCTGTTGTTCAAAAAGGAGAAACTTCATTCCCTGGTTTCATACCATGTGGTAATCATACAGATTGCCTATATTTTGGCAAAGACAAAAGTTTCACACATTTTTGGACTTCTGTTATAAACATTTAAACGGTCCAACATATAAGAAAGATATTATGGTGTATAACTCTGACTGACATTGATAATATCCTGTGTTTATTATTAGATATTTGACCATTCTAATGATATGAAGAGAACTGAAATACAACTGGAATATGTTTTTGACTGAGTTCTATTATTTCCATCCTGACAAGTATGAAGAAATCTTTATAGGGCACTGGCAGCTCTCATACAGTGACAAGTAGATTGCCTTCCTCTTGCAGGTGAGAGGCCCATGAATTATGTTATAGCCTCTAGGATTGCCTTTCCCTCTGGGTACATACTGTATGAATTTTAATTTATCAGAAATAGTAAATAAGCTTCATGATACACCCCATTTAAGGTTTTACCACTCCACAAACAAGTAACCCTTAGGGATTACCAGAATGAGTTTATTACCACACAAACTGAGCGCAAACAATAACTCTACACACTTTTCAGCTTCTGCGGGGGCACTGGATGATAATCTCACTCACAACCGATTCTTGGCTGGTGAAAATAACCAGAATGAAATGTTTCAGCCATTCAGTGGCATCAAAGCACCATAATTATCAGAGAACAAAGTCACACCATAGTTTGAATTAGGATTCCCTGCACCAACTTCTTGCTTTTGCTGGCAAGGCTAATTTTCTAAACATGAGGATTCTGCCCCAATCTGAAAATCAGTATATTATTGCTTACTTCTATTTGTTGCTTAAGCATGATTGGGAAACAAACAGTATAAGCAAACAGCACAACCCTACATGTGGTAATGTCCAACAGTTTAAGATTAAGTAGAAGAACTCGTTTCACAAGAATGTCATTCAATTTTTTGAGAACAGTATTGTCAAGGAGCTTCTCATTTTTACATATATTAACTAACAAATGCTAGTACTTTTCTTCTCCTTTCACTATTACAAAAGTAAGTATTTACTGGTTACCAGTGCAATTCTTTTCTTTCCCTTCGGACATATTTGTACTAAACAAATAGGATGAAGAGCAATGTCCTTGTTCTGTGAAGTGACCAAATCTGCCCTTGAAACAAAATTTATTAACATGATAGCCAGAGTACAGAAGATTGTCCTAAACGTCATGCTAGATACAGATTGCCATCCATGAATCAGAAGTCTTTGATGGAGAAGTAGACTGCTGAAGTTGTGCATTATGCATAAGCAGTCACCCTCAGTACATATATCCCAGAACACTCAAGAGGATTTACATCTTATTTAAATTGAAACCCTAGATACACCTATTTGGGAGAAAGCCATACTAAAGAAACATGCAAATACTGTACTGCCACAGTGCAAACTTATATAGGTTCATTCAGAAAGGGACATTTTTATTTCAACCACACTTTCTTTCTTTCTTTCTTTAGAATAAAAGCATCTGATATGTTATTATGGTTATAACTGAAGCTTTAATAGGACTTCAATTTAAATTAAGACAGGAAACTTTAAATATGTTCAATATGTTAATATGTTTACTAACTGCTCCTACGTGTTGCATAATTTGAAATCTCTGAAGGAATAACAGAGATGATTAAGAAAAACTAAAATGTTTTTAAGTTGAAATTGTGTCTCCCCTACCTTTCACAAAAGCTCCCAGAACAATTTACTGAAAGCTTAGCATGCACTAAGAGAATTAATAACTTATCATTCACAGCTGGCATAAACAGTTGATAGTAAAAATTTATACAATTATCTCCATTAAACAAAATGGCTACATCACTGCCAACATACAGTTGACGTTTAACTTGCAACAAAGTATTTATAAAGTTAATAATTATGAAGGTATCATGTAAGGTCAGTATCAAGGTATTACTTGAAAGACTGCACTGCATTTTTTCCACTGTAGCCAGTAAGTATTGATAACATTATTTTACCAACCAATTGTGTTTCTTCTAAACACTTTCCACTAGGGAAACATTTAGAAAAACACTTAGCAGTGTCAAATATGTTTGGCTTTACAGTTATGTGAAACAAAGTAACTTCTTTGCTTTGGTTTTTCACATCTGTGTAGAACAGGATCAATCACTTTATTAGCAAGGACACAACATTTATAAGAGCTGTACTGAATGAGACCCAAAACCTACGTAAGTTCAGCAGTCTTTTCCCTCATAGTGGCATACAAATGGAAACAAGATCCCAGCAAGCAGCACATGAGCTTTCTTCCACAGTTCTTCCCTAGCATTTTGACAACCAAGTCACTCGTCTTCAGCTAATACATCATGTATCAGCCTAAACCCAAGTGCCTCATTATACAGCACTAGCCGTCCCCTGCCACGCGTTGCTGTAGCCCAGTCTGGTGATCTGGAAAATAAAGTAATGGTTTCTAATATATGTAATTCCTTTATGCTTGTGGGTAAACAGTATTCCTTATTGTTTCTATGTCAGTGTTGATGTGGAGATTGTCTGGTTTGCCTACTCTGGAACATGCAACATATAATCATCCTTCTTGAGGGCTCCCTTTCAAATCTATGACACTATCCATAAATCCCAAAAACTACAACTCCCAAATGTCAGGGTCTATTTCCCCCAAACTCCACCAGTATTCACATTTGGGCAAATTGGGGATTCGTGCCAAGATTGGTCCAGATCCATCATTGTTTGGGTCCAAAGTGCCCTCTGGATGTAGATGAACTACAGCTCCCAAACTCAAGGTTAATGCCAACCAAACCCTTGTAGTATTTTCTGTTGGTCATGGGAGTCCTGTGTGCCACGTTTGGTTCAATTCCATCATTGATGGAGTTTGA